TTCTTTCGTGAAAAACACCACTTCATATTTTCTTATTAATAGGTCGGTAAGATCGAAAAATATTATGCATATTTCATTACTCAGTAATTTTTAGTTTAATGTAATTTCCAAAATACACGATTTAAAAAAAAACAAACCGAGCAAAGCTCGGTACTCCAGGTACTTACTATTGATAAAATATGATTAGTTGATTAAAAAAGAAAACCTATGTAGAAATCCATTATTCCCGGTTCTTCGCAGGTCAGATTTAAACGATGATTAAGTGATTACCACCATCCATGGACATCTACAACACTAGCCTTCTGCTGCCACAAGGGTTGCCAACCTTAAAAGCAGTGGGCGTTGGTTAGCACACTCGTCAGACTTAACTCTAAAGTATACTTTTGAGTTGTTAGGAAGAGATTTCATGTTTTTGGTGAAAATGAAATACGATTTTTTATAGTTTATTCTCTATTTTAGTCCAATAACTTTTGCCATCTTTCGGGCGGAAGATTGAATCCATGCTCATAAAACTTTTGACCTTTGCTGGCAAAAAAACTGGTCCAAGTGATATTTGACGTCCTGGTTTCAAGTGAAGGTCTTTCTCATAAAATAATAGTAGCAAAATGGATAATAGTCTGAAATCTTTTGTCTAGTTACCAAACTTCTATGAGATCTCGCACTGTCGTGGTGGAATACTATACCTTTTCTATTAATCAATTCTGAGATTTTCTGTTTGAGTGAATCATTCAATTTATCCAGTTGATCACAGTATTTAATAGTCACTTCAGAATTGATCGTGGTATTGTTCGGTCAAAGCTCAAAGAAAACTATGGCCTTGAAATCTCACTAAACCGATTATTATAATATTTTTTATAGCGAATCTTTTTAACTCCATGATATCTTGCGCTTATCATTATTGTAAAGAACCAATTTATCGTCTATAATATTTCATCGATAATGATTCATCTCAAAAATGGAATGTTTTCTTGACGTTTGAGAAGCAAAACACTTTATTTTAAAATAAAGGAATATTGTAAGGAAAATATGCGGAGGATCAAGTGAGTGGTAAACGTTGTTGTACGCCTTCATTGCATCTGCAGTAAGGTTGTGCACAGCCTAAGCCTTCCGAGGCGAACTCCGCCGAGCGTCGAGCATTGCTCCGTTCCGCGTCGAGTCGCCTAGGACACTTCGTTCCTCTTTCGCTGTTCGTTCTTGGCTTTCTATCGTTTCAGCGCTCAACCAAGTTCAACCGCGTAGCTGCTCGCTACTTGGTCGCCCTTTTTAATAAAAAAGGGTCCAGTGGTGAGGTAGGGCTACCTCAGTAGCCTAAAACAGCCAAATCACTCCACCCGCTGTCTATTGTGGTTATATCCGATACAGCCGGCCTCATCGGTGGATTTCCCTCCGGGCGTCCCCCGGTGGGGTGCGGTGCGGGAGCAGCCCAATAGACACACGCAGAAAGAGTGCGTATAAGCAAATCTTCGGTGTGCTCTAAAACACCTGTTATAGATGCACACTGCATAAACACACCACAATGGGTCGCGGCAAAAAAGTCGCTACCACCGCCAAAGCTAGGCGAGCCAAACCACAAGTGAAAATCCTTGTCGAAAGGAATATTTTCACTAATGAAATAACTAGGATTCTGCCCTCGCAGATCCAGCCACCCCAATCAAAGGGTAGCGCGCCCTCCAAGGCCGAAGAGCCCGCCCAAGTTGCTTCCGTAAGTGGGGAACTGTTGGCAGCACCGCCACTACCACAAAGGACGAAAACACCCCGTCCACCCACATCCCCTGAGTCGCCAACCCAGGACGATAAGCGTCCCAAATTAGACGACTCAGCCTTAAACAGGGATAAGAGGCAGGATGGCCCTACTCACACCAACGACGTGATAGAGCCGACGCCTGGACCATCAAATGGTGGTCAACAAACCGAAGGGAATGAGGTTGAAATGGACTCCGAGGAGCCCCAACCCGGCCCCTCAACTGCTCAAACAGCACCGCCGACGTACGCTAACGCGGTTTCGGCTCCACCATCACCACGCCGACGGTCCTCTACAACACAGGGGACCAATCAAGCGCCACCTCAACTTGCCGAGGAGAAGGGGCGCAAATACCCGCCCATTGTGGTAGAGTGCCTACCACAATGGACAAAACACTTTTCTGTCCTCAAAGGGCAGCTAGGACACGCCCCAAACGCCAGGCCGCTCGGCAAGGGAGTGCGTTTTACCCCGGAGAATGCCGCGGAATACCGGATAATCCAGCGCTACCTCGTCGAGTGTAGCCAAAAGGACCCAACTGTTGTGTGGTACTTTTACGCTCCGCCAGAAGAGGTACCAACAAAGGTAGGGATCAGAGGCCTCCCAAGGGACACACCACCAGACGAGGTGGTCGAGTATTTTAGGAAAATAGGGTTCCCGGCTACTTACTCAAGGGCGATAATGCCCAAGAGGTCGAGGCCGGGAACACTCTACCACCTCAAACTCGACCACCTCAATAAAGACGAGCTAAAGCGCCTCTACGATGTCACGGAGGTGCTGAACATGCCAGGCATCACCATAGAGGCCTGGCTTGGAAAAGGTGGTCCGTATGGTTAGTAGCGTCATTTCTTCAGGACCGGAAGTTCGTCGTGCACGTCGAGGGAGCCGACTCGGCGGTACGATGCATCAAAGCCGGTGTACCACAAGGTAGTTGTCTGTCGCCACACCTGTATGCGGTGTACACGGACGACATTCCCACCTTGGAGCAAAACGCCTCCGACTGGGATGAAGACGTACTGTTGGCCCTGTACGCGGACGACAGTGCGTTCTTCACGTCTTCTCACGTCGCGGCGATTGCGGCGAGGAGGAAAATGCAGCGCCAACTGGACCTGCTGCCCGAGTGGCTGGATAAGTGGCGGATGTCTGTCAACGTCGACAAGACCTCCGCCATATATATCCGCCGCATTAAAAACCAACCCACGCTTGAGCTGCGAGGTCAGGCGATTACCAACCAGAACGTCATAAGGTACCTTGGGTGCCGGATAGACCGCTCGCTGTGCATGGCTCCCCAGGTCGGACACGCCGTCCGACAAGCCAGAGCAGCTCGAGACATGCTGTACCCTATCCTGGCATCCAGGTTACCGATCAAGACTAAACTCGGCGTCTACAAGACGTACGTACGTTCGCGCCTGACCTACGCCGCTCCGGCGTGGTATGGTCTGGTTTCCGCCTCGCAGAGGCGCAGGCTCCAGGCGCAGCAGAACCTCGCCCTTCGAGTAATCGTGGGGGCCGGGCGCTACGTCAGGAATGACGTAATCGCCCGCGATCTAAAAATCGAATCTATCCAGGAGTTTGTGGTCCGGTTGGCCCGTCGCATGTAAGACCGGGCCGACAACGGACCACATCCACACCTACAAAATATCGCACCCCTACACGCCCGTCCTCCTGACGGGCGCCCGCTCCCACGAGAGCTACTGCGGTCGGAGGCCACTGGGGAGCCGGACCCGACCGCACCTCCGCCGTTGAGAAGACGATGTCGTCCACGCGTTACACACCGCGTGTAACGCTGTACACCCGCCAGTGCCGCTACCGCGGTCAGAGTTAGGGATGGCCGTTGGTCATCCTTACCACCGACCAGCCTTCGCTGGTCGAGATTATGTCCGAGGCATGGGGGATGCCCCGATACTTGAATAAAAAAGCAGGCCTCGCGCCAGCTTCGTACATCATCAAGGAAAATAGTGTCAATAACTGAGACAAAGTAAATACAGTTATTTTGTTTTATTCAGGCTTATTTATTAAGCCCTAACGAAAGTTAAAACCAGTATCATGACTCTACCCTTAGAGGCCAGAGGAAAATTAAATGCATAGGACTCGTCCTCTTTATGAATTTAAACTACAAATATATTTTTTTAGCACACCGTGGTTGACACTGTCAGCCTATTCTTACTGGAAATGCTTTCAAATCTTGTTTGTAATTATTAGATTAGTGTGTGTACTGTAATGAGTAACTTAACTTTTTCTTCTATTTTCTTTTACTGCTTAGTTAATCTTTTTAACTCAAAGTGTTAACCTATGCTAATTTATTTTGTTATTTAAGTGACAATTATGTAAGAGTAAATTGTGTTGCCGAAAAATTGTTTTCACAATTTGGCGAAAAAAATTGTATGTTGTATTGTTCACTTAATAAATAAAATAAATTAAATAACATCAACACTAATTAATTTCACTAAATTTGTTCTCACTGCCTGCTGAGATAAGTGGAGCCGGGGATTCTTGCTATGGCCCCGTGGCATTTTTTTCCTCGTGCCACCCTTATAAGTATGTTCTTAGACCAGTGATTCTCAACCGTTTTTTTTGTTGCGGCACATATTTAACGATTTCAAAATTTGGCGGCACACAAAGAAAAAGATACAAATTATTTACTTACTACAATACACTGCATAAATAGTTTATGACAAAAATTTTAAATATACGAAATAAACTAATATATACTACAATAATAACTAAACGTTTATTAAGGGATTACTTACAAGCTAATAATAAAAATATTTTAATGCGAAATTTGAAATGGTTTTTGATAATTTCATTTATATTTGGTCGTAAAAATGACAATGCTACTCTCATATCGTCTTCTACATTTAACAATCTTGATCTTTTTTTAGTTTTAATGTTGGCTAATGCCAAAAAATATTTTTTTAAATAATATAATTTAATAATATTAACATTATTATAATTATATTTGAAAAATTTGGCGGCACACTTTTGAAATTTGGTGGCACACAAAAGTGCCGCGGCACAGTGGTTGAGAATCACTGTCTTAGACCCTTCGATGCAATGTTAGTAAGTTTTGTTTTTAATATTTTCATCACATTCGTGTCAAAGGCGCAAGACAAAAGATCGACATAAATATATCAATCAAAAACAAGACAGACAGACGGCGCGGAGTAATAGGGTGCCGTTTGACTCTGGATACGGAACCCTGAAAAGTAAGTGCGTACTTATTTCGCGTGTGTTACAACTCGACCTGTACATTCGTCCCCAGACACCCACATACTGGAATTGTTCATGCGCGGCTGCCGGATGGACCAAGAGCGTGCGCGGGCGAAGTTTGAGGCGTTCTGCTTGGCTCGGGCACGCTGCCGTGATCTCTACGAGCATCGATCCCTCAACGAACCCCCGCTAAACGACGTTGGAAAGTTCTTGTAAGTGCTTATAACTCTTGCTTAATCTAGAAAAAACGTTGTAGCTGCAAGGCGCCCGCTAAAGTAAATAAAGTTAACTTGTAATGTACGGCAATGCTTCTAGTATATAAGCGAACTCTACGCATTATTAAATGAAACCATTTTTTTAAGAATTTCATTGTCACTAGGCGACGAATACTGCTAACTTAGTAACATCTATCGGGATTCTTTCAAAGTCAAAGTCAAAATTTCTTTATTCAACATAGGCTTATTTTAAGCTCTTATTGAACGTCAAAAACTACCACCGGTTCACTAAACTAGACCTGCAAGAGAAGAACCGGCAAGAAACTCTGCGGTCATATATGTATATTTTTTTTAAGTTTTTAAGTATAGACAAAAAATTATTTTAGTATAATTTAGCAGGAGCCAGGGGAATTGCAAGTGCAGAGTCATTTCCACACATCCTTGTCCTCAATGTATTCCTCGACATTATAATAAGCCCTTTCCATTAAGGTGGCTTTTACAAAATGTTTGAAATTATTTACACTTAATTGTTTGTGGATGTCACCTATTCTATTATATAAGTTAATACATCTACCAAGAAACGATTTCCTGGTTTTAGCTAGTCTAAACCTCGGTATTTCCAACGTGTCACCACGGCCCCGACGCGATGTGGTATGTGTTTTTGTAAAATGTTATTTTTTGCTTTAAATCTTGACATTTAATGAAGACACGATCAAATCTATTAAAATTCAATCTATTATTAATCAAATCTATTAAAATTGTTTCTTTTAATTATAACATATTTTGCAAACAAATAAGATAACACATTTATTTTGTTAGAGCGGTCCAGTTATATAAAAACCTATCGATATATTTGTCGATGACATACTTCTTTTGCATAAATACCATAAACATGTTTTTCTTGGATAATTAAAATTGTTTTACATAGATGTATCTTTTGATGTGTAGAAAAAAACTTGAATGAGCTTACAATCAATATGTTTTTGGATTACATAACTACGTATCAAAGGTTGTATTTATAACTTACAAATTATTCAATTTCGGTTCAAAAAAAGGCGGTACATACCAATTTGAAAAAGCTTTCATAGGTTCAATTGTTTTTCAAATGTGTACATCAGAAACTCAGAATTCAAAAATGTTTTAATATATTCCCTCGTAAAATGATTGCCATCATGAGAAATGTTGAACAAACTCCAAAAAAATCGATAGATCGTCGAATTTTTGTTTTACCATCAAATCGTCTCTCTGTATAGTGCCAAAGTTCCTCAGATTTTTACTCAGAGTATAAATAATACAAATTTCATTCAGATCCGGTTAGCCGTTATAGCTTGGATAGGGAACAAACACAAACTTTTGCATCTAACATCAGTATAATGTGGTGAAATTTACAGGGACATCGCACCGTTACCAAAGTTGACGGACGAAGGCCTTCGGGTTACAATATTCAGGGTACGCGCGGGTTATCCGGAAAGCTCCGCTGATATAGCGGCAACAGTACGAGCGATATTATTACTCAGTGACGCGCGAATGCACGACGAAACGCTTTTAGCCGGAGATGTGTTCATTTGGGAGGTAAGATTCGACTTAAACGTTTTTGTCATAAAATTCTTCAATTAGTCCACTGAATATAGACCTGTTTTGTTAATTGATAAGACAAATATGTCACCGCTGTCACTCGGTAGATACCAACCAACAAGTAATACAAGTCTTCAGTTGTGGTTGTAAACCATACTGTAGCAGGTCTACAACTAGAATGGTAAAGTCCTCATTGCCCAGCCTGTCTTGAGACCCAAACAAAAGTACGTGGACCGATATTCGATAGTAGAACCTATCCCAATAAAATATGAAATTGCGATTTAATCACTTTAGTCGAACGAGTGGTTAGGAACAAATAAATCAAGAAAACAATTGCAATGAATTAATAAGAATTAATCAATAACCAATCGTAGAAGAACTAGAGTTACCGACATAGCAGAGCGAGTCAGCAGGCTGAAGTGGCAGTGGGCAGGGCACATAGCTCGAAGAACCGATGGCCGTTGGGGCAAAAAGGTTCTCGAGTGGAGACCACGTGACGGCAAACGCAGCGTAGGAACGCCTCCCACAAGGTGGACGGACGACCTAGCCAAGATCGCAGGGACGCGTTGGATGCAGGCCGCTAACGACCGGTCGAAGTGGAAGTCAATGGGGGAGGCCTATGTTCAGCAGTGGACGTCCTACGGCTGATATGATGATGATGATGATGATGAATCAATAACCAGAACAGAAAATTCACGTAAATAATTTATTCGCGGAAACATTTCTCAACAACACGACGTTAGCAATTCAATAGCGGTGAATAGTAAACGGAACAATCATGTGTAGGCCGCGAATCGGGGACCTGCTCTCGCCGTCGAGCGCGCTGAGCCATTTGTGTATTTGTCTGGGCCGGATTTAGAGGTCTGGAGGCCTCGGGGTAACAAAGGAGTGGCCAAATTGCCTTTTGATATTTAATGTATCATATTATTTCATTCATATTTGTACAAAGTCCTGTAGGTAAAGGTAAAACGCGAAAAAAAATATGAAAGGAAAAGTTGTCTACTAGTCTTAATTTGAGTTTTTTCCGAAGTCTCTATTGTGGGGGCCCCTCTTTTGTGGAGGCCCCGGGGCTGTAGCCGCAGTTGTCCTCCTAAATTCGGCCCTGGTGTTTGTTAATGAATGTACACCTATTACATGTCACGCTAGGCATGGTGAGGCATCGGCGGACGGTATCCCGTTTGGGGCTCTGTCACCTCGTCCTAGAAGGAGTAGGGGATGGATTCCGAAAAGATCAACCATCTTTTAACGTAACATTATATTGTCTTATAGACTTTTCAGATAGTGGACAGACGTTTCAGAAAGTGGAAAGCTTGTTTTGTAACTTTGTAACAATTGTTATATTTAGGGCACGACGCAAATCGGCTTTCCGCTCCTGAATTACTTGAGGCGGTTTCAAGTGCCAAGCGGGGAATAATAATAACATAAATTTAAAGTTTTTTATAGTGCTAATCTCTGCACTTAAGATTAAACATTAAAACTTGTAGAAAAAGTACGAAAAGATTGTCGCGGCTGTGGGAATCGAACTCACGTCTTCGGCATTCGCGGCCTGACGCTTTAGCCACTAAGCTAAACGGCTGTTTGCCACACCGACGAAAATCTTAACGTCTTTTATCTACATTGTTATTTAGCATTTGAAGCAATGCTTGGCGCATCTATTGTTATATCCTTTCCAGCATACGCGGGGCGGGTGTGGGGCAATCGAATTGAATCGAAACGACCGCGGAAAATGGAATTCATAACATGTTATTCTTATGGCAAAACAGGCGTCGAATATTCGCGCTTCGCTCGCTGCGCGCGTCGCCGCCGCGGCGAGTTCGGTGCGGCGGGCGATTCACCTCGCTCACGCTGCGTACCCGCAGCGGATGCGACGCATTCACGTGGTCGGCGCGCCGCCCCTAATCGCATCCTCTCTTGCCTTCATTAGGTCGTGCGTCAATGAGAAAATTCGAAAACGGGTAAGTGCCTTCATCCGTTCGCATACCTATGTTAATATGGCCGATCTGATCTATAAAGGTCCTCACAGAAAGAAGTGCTTATACTTTTGCATTTCATCTGACGGGTCTGGTGATCAGGCCCTATCCCTATCCTATAAGGCGTATCTAGGGTGAGGGTCGTGGTTTATCATCAATCCATATAATAAAAATGTAACGGATCGTAGTCTCTACATGGAAGATTTTAGAGAAAAACTATTATTGGGGGCTTTTATCACCGCAGTAGAACCCAAAAAGGAATGAAAGCGTAACATCAGTTATACAAAAAATAACCCAAAACAATGATTGTTAAAATTCTGTTTTTCTGTGCGCGCTATTCTCAGAAACGGCTTAACCGATTTGTGTGCACCTCTTGTATCTTGTATCTTGTATTAACTGATGTTTTTGCTTTCAGTCCCGAGACTATTAAAGCTTCATCTGATGCAGAACAGGTGGGCTAGCCAGAACCCACGAGTTTGGCACGCACGTTGAGCACGCATGTGCTCATGCGTGCGTTTAACTATGGTGTGTCATCTAAGGGTCATCGAGGTCGCGGTTCGGACTGAAACCCCGATGGCCGTCGACTGTGCAATTAGCTAATCGGTGGCTGGGGGCGGTGAAAACCAACCCGGAACGCGGGTGTACCTTGTGTACGCGTTGTGTTGGCCGTGCTCGGAGGCGAGGGCGAACTAGTGTGTTTGTTGTTGCACTAACTGTGGGTGTAGTGTTATTCGGCTGGATCCCCGGCGGTGGGTCCGGCGTATCTAAGTCCCCTTCCTCGACCGGGTCGATTAGGACGTTTCGCCGGTGACGCTTGTTGACGTTCGCGTTTGTGTCGGGTTGGTAATTTGCTGCGCTTACCACCAGAGGGTTGGGATGATGTTCGGCTCTATCGAAGAACCGTTTGGTCAGGTCTTTAAAATATTCGCGAATCGTCGGGAGTCTGCAATCGCTGTGCAGGTCGACGTTGCGTTGATACCACTGCGCACCGGTTGCGCGGCGGATGAACTTATTTTGTACTATTTGCAACTTGTACAAGCGAGTAGGCTGCGTGTGGGCGAAGGTCATGCATGCGTAGGACATAATAGGTCGTACGCAGGTCTTATATAATAATAATTTGTGCCTTAAGGGCATTTTACTTTTAGCGTTAGTTAAATTGTGTAGCCGGCTGGAGATGAACGCGGCTCTATTGCGAACGTTATTAATGTACGTATTAAATGACATACGCGAGTCGAAAGTGACTCCTAAGTATTTGACCTTTTTCTCCCAGGGGAGCGGTTGGCCATTTTTCATATTTGCCCCAACTTTCTGCATCGACGAGGGCCATTATAAAGATGTGACGGGTAATTACTTCGTGTGAAGTGAATCGCCACACTCTTTTCGGGATTTACTTCTATTCTCCATTTGCGGAACCAATCGCCGAGGCGGTCGGCGGCGCTTTGGAGTCAAGTGGTTAGTTGATTAAGGTTGCGGTCTGAATAAAAGTGTCATCCGCGAAAAGCGCGAGATTGACGTGGGGGTCTTTAGGTATATTGCTCGTGTAGAGCGTAATGAGCAAAGGTGAGAGGCAGGAGCCTTGTGGTACGCCGGCCGTGAGGCGGCGGCTTGTGGAGAGGGTGCCTTCAACTCGATATCGAAAAGAGCGATTCGACCTTGTCGAATGCTTTTGCGACATCGAAGAAAAGGACCCCTGTACTAATATGTTTAGGGTGATTTAGGCCTTTTAGGATATGTTCCGTTAGGCGAAATAGTTGATCGGGGCAGGAATGTCTAGCTCAAAAGCCGAATTATTCCGCCGGCAGAAGGCCGTTTAAACCTTTAAACGAAAGATTTAAAATATTTCTTTGAGAGATTTAATAGAAGCCGCTCGTAGAGCCTCCCGAGGCAAGTGAGGAGGCTGATGGGACGATAACTAGAGGGCTGGTTGGCTGGTTTATTCGGCTTGCGAATGCCGATAACCGTGGCTTCTTTCCAAGCGTCCGGAAAGGAGCAACAGGAGAGTAAAGTATTGTAAATGGTCAAGAGTAAACAGATAAGCGGCCCAGGGAGAGCTTTAAGAATTTGTTACTAATATTATCTGGGCCCGGGGCGGATTTGCGTTTTAAGTTTTAAATAATATCTTGGACCTCTTCGGGGGTCACTGAACTCAAAGGATCGCCTTCCGGTGGAAGCGCAGCCCCAATCTCGATTACGCGGTCCACATCCGTTAGGTAGGCTGTATCGATGTGTTCGCGCGATGGCGTACATTGCTGCTCTAGGTTGTCCGCAAGGCATTCGGCTTTTTCGGAGTCATCTAGGGCTACTGAAGCGCTATTAGGTGCTTTCAGACTGCGGGCCAACCGCCAGTAGGCGGTGTGCGATGGCTCGATGTCCTCTAGGAGAGTGTCCCACGTTGTATGACGGTGTTCCGATACAAGATCTTTGACTTCTAGCTGAAGGCATCGAAGTAGGGCTCGGTTCGATTCCGATCGGTATCGGTCGAAAGCGCGTTTGGCTGCATTTTTCTGCCTAATGAGCAGTCGCAGGTCGGACGGAAAATTAAACCGTCGATCGCCCGACAGTTTAACCGTCCGTTCCGAGTCTGCGACTGTGGAAGTGATGGTTTCTCGGAGACTTGCTATCGCTCGATTTGCGTCATCGAACGTAGCTATCGTCTCGGGTAGGTCGACTAAATCCTGGGGGTCCAAGGCCTTGAGTTTGAACTCAAGACGATGCCAGTCCACTACAATCCGTAGTGGACTGGCATCGTCTTGAGTTGGTCGGAGGGACCGCGCCAGCGTTCTGGCCCAGTTTACACAGGACGGGCCTGTGATCGGAATCTAGTTCATGGATTGTCTTTATCGACTCGATGTTGAGCGAGACCTCTTTGAATAACATGATGATAGTTAGATGATAGATAGTTAGTCTAGGATACTCGGTGACTGGGGTCGTGAGGTCTATGGCCCTGTACGGTGCTCCCGTTTGGGCCGACACCCTGAATCGCCGGACCATGGCGCTTCTGCGCAGACCACAGAGGGTGTTGGCTATACGGGCCATACGGGGCTACCGCACAATTTCCGGTGAGGCGGCGTGCGCGTTGGCTGGTTCCATTCCCTGGGACCTAGAAGCCAGTATCCTCGCGTCATTGCACTTCTGGCGCGAGGAGGCAATAGCCCGGGGTCAACTGCCAGCCTTAGAGGAGTTGAAGGGGTGCAGATTAAGGCTACGCTTACTCGCCATCGCCGAGTGGGAGCAGAGGCTGGAGCACCCCAGTGCCGGCCTAAGAACCATTGAGGCCATACGTCCGGTACTCAGTCGGTGGCTGGACAGGCGTCACGGCACCCTCACCTACCGGGCGACGCAGGTTCTCTCGGGACATGGCTGTTTTGGGAGGTACCTGTGCCGCTTGGCAGGGAGGGAGCCAACAGCGGTTTGCCACCACTGCGACGTATGTGCCGAGGAGACGGCCCAACACGCACTGGAGGAGTGCCCAGCCTGGCGGGAGCAGCACCGAGAGCTGATGGCTATCGTGGGGCACGATCTCACGCTACCTGCCGTGGTCCGCGCTATGGTGGACAGCGAGAGGTCGTGGGGTGCCGTCCTTGCATTCTGCGGGGACATAATCACCCGGAAGGAGGCCGCGGAGAGAGAAAGGGAGGCAACTGCCACCCTGGAAATCCGCCGCCGGAGACCAGGGCGCAGGAGGCTGGCCTACGCGCGCAACCTTCCCCCCTGATAGCAAGCCCCGGGGCGGCAGATGTGGGACTAACTGCTGCCCCGCGGAGGGCTTGAGAGGGGTGCCGTGTTCATTGCACTGACACGGCACCATTTGGCTGGACCTGGTGTCCCTAACACCCGGGGAGAGGAGGCCTGAGAAGGCCACAGTCGCGCCGGGGTTCGCGGAAGATTGCGTTCTCGTGTTCCCGTGTCCCCGTGTCCCCGGCAAAGCGATAGCGCAGGTGCAACGTGGGTTTTTAGTGGGTACGTGTAACTTCTTGTATCTTGTATTAACTGATGTTTTTGCTTTCAGTCCCGAGACTATTAAAGCTTCATCTGACGCAGAACCGGTGGGCTAGCCAGAACCCACGGGTTTGGGCCCTCCGATGTGGGTAGGGCCGCGCATGTGCTCATGCGTACGTGTAACTCCCACATACCCCTGCTGCCTACCCACAAGCCAGCGGGGGATCCATAAAGGATTTTTCCCACGTAAAAAAAAAAAAAAAAAGGATACTCGGTGACGTGTGTTGGTAGTTGTCCACCGTAGAATACCTAGTGGGAGGCGCAAGAGCGACTATGCTAATGTTTAAATTATCGGATAAGCTAAAGAGATGCTTCCCGTTGTTATTTGGCATACTGTGGATGTCCCATGAGCAGTGTTTGCAGTTAAGATCTCCTGCAATTATCACGGAAGTTAAGTAGCGTATCTAGGTCGCTTTGTAATAAGGTTTTGTTCCCTGAGAGGTAGGCTGAGACTAGTACAAGCGGCCTATGGCCGGTGAGCGCTAACCTACATGCGGATGCCTCTATTTGGCTTAGCTCTGGAATGTCGAGCGGGCAACAGTGCAAGGACCGTTTATAGTAAATTAATGTGCCTCCCAGAAGGTTTGCTAACCGGTCGTGGTGGACTATGTCGTAGTTTGATTTAAAATTGCAACCGAAGTTGTGAGTAGCGTCTAATTCGGGTGGCATGAGCCCGCCGTCTTAGAGAGAGGTCCGTTCCGTACGAGAGCACGAAGCGGAATGTGTGTGCAACTGAAATCACTAATGCAATTTATTAAGCTTCACTTAAACTTTAATGTTCGTTTTATAGTATTATAATGTATATTATAAAAAAGTAAAAAAAGTAAAGTAACAGCCAATACATGTCCCACTGCTGGGCAAAGGCCTCCTCTATACAGAGGGTATCAGGGCATAGTCCACCACGCGGCACCACTGCGGATTGGCGGACTTCACATATTTTCGAAATATATATTTTTTTGTTATTATTTCGAAAACATGCAGGTTTC